GCTGCCCAAGGCTACGGCGCCTTCCTGCCCTACGCCGCGGAGCTGCCCATCTTCCCGCAGCTGGTAAGAGCCAGAGGGATCCGGGAAGGAGGGCTTGGAGCTGGGGCATTGGGCAAGGTGAGAGCGGGGGCGTAGACTCCGCGGGTCCGGGCCAAGAGGGTGGAGGCAGAGAAGGCTGAAGCTCACCCGCGCTTCCTCCACGCGTGTCCCCTTCCTTTCCCATGTGCGTACAGGGCGCGCAGTATGAGCTGAAAGACAGCCCCGGGGTGCAGCATCCGGCCGCGGCCACAGCGTTTCCGCACCCGCACCCCGCCTTCTACCCCTATGGCCAGTACCAGTTCGGGGACCCGTCCCGTCCCAAGAACGCCACCCGGGAGAGCACCAGCACGCTCAAGGCCTGGCTCAACGAACACCGCAAGAACCCCTACCCCACCAAGGGCGAGAAGATCATGCTGGCCATCATCACCAAGATGACCCTCACCCAGGTGTCCACCTGGTTCGCCAATGCGCGCCGGCGCCTCAAGAAGGAGAACAAGATGACGTGGGCCCCCCGCAGCCGCACCGACGAGGAGGGCAATGCGTACGGGAGCGAGCGGGAGGAGGAAGACGAGGAGGAGGATGAGGAGGATGGCAAACGCGAGCTGGAGCTGGAGGAGGAGGAGCTCGCGGGGGAGGAGGAGGACACGGGGGGCGAGGGCCTGGCAGATGATGACGAGGACGAGGAGATCGATTTGGAAAATTTAGACGGCGCGACTGCTGGGCCTGAGATGGCCTTGTCTGGGGCGGCGCGGAGGGACGGCGACCTCGGCTTGGGACCCATTTCAGACTCCAAAAATAGCGACTCGGAAGACAGCTCCGAGGGCCTGGAGGAGCGGCCGCTGCCGATCCTGAGTCTGGCCCCAGCGCCACCGCCAGTAGCCGCGGCTCCGCCGTCTCCGCTCTCACCTCCCCCTGGTTTAGACCCCTGCGCTCCGGCACCAGCTCCTTCCTCCACCTTGCAGAAGCCCAAAATCTGGTCCCTGGCCGAGACGGCCACAAGCCCAGACAACCCGCGCCGCTCGCCTCCCGGCACAGGGGGCTCTCCTCCCGGGGCCGCCGT